CACTTAGGATGACGTTCTCCAGCTTCATCTGTGTTGCTGCAAGGACATGATTTTATTCTTTTTTATGACTGCATAGTATCCCACCATATATGGGGAGAGAGAGAGAAAGAAAGAACATTATCTATTTCTATTCTATGTATGTATCTGTTATATATATAACGTGTTATATATCTATATTTTTAAATTTTACAATTAGAGGTACAAGTGCATGATTGCTACATGGTAGTATTGTATAGTGGTAGGAATTGGGTTTCAAGTGGCCCATTAAAGATAGATGATAGCATAAATGTTATATTTATATCTAATATATATTTAATCTATATCTATACAAAATATGTTCATTATCCTGTCAATTATCAATAGGCACTTAGGTTGACTGCATAATTTTGCTATTATGAATAGTGCTGCAATGGACCTAAGAGTACAGGTATACAATACTCTTATACAATAATTTATTTGCTTTGGGTAGATTCCCAGTAGTGGGACTGCTGGGTCCATTGGTATTCTTATTTTTAGTTCTTTGAGAAATCTCCATACTGTTTTCCATAGAAGTTAAACTTGTTTGCAATCTCACCAACAATAAATAAGCATCCTTTTTCTTCACAATCATGCCAATATCTTTGTTCTTTGACCTTTTAATAACAGTCATTCTGACTGACGTCTCATTTTGGTTTGAGTTGCACTTCTCAGATGATTAGTATCATTGAGCATTTTTTTTCTTCTGTTTGTTGGCCTCTTGTATGTCTTTTTTTTTGACAAGTGACTATTCATGTCCTTTGCCCGCTTTTTGATGAAGTTGTTTGGTATTTCATGTTGAGTTCTTTGGGATCCTTGTAGATTCTGGCTATTAGTCCTTTGTCCAAGACATATTTTGCAAATATGTTTTCCCATTCCATAAGTTTTCTGTTCAATCTGTTGATTATTTCTTTTGATGAGCAGAAGCATTTTAATTTAATTAAGCCCCATTTGTCTACTTTTGTTTTGTTACAATTGCTTTTGAAGTCTTTGTCATAAATTATCTGCCAAGGCCAATGTCCAAAAGAGTGCTTTCTAGATTTTTTTATAGAATTCTTATGGTTTCAGGTCTTAAGTTTAAGTCTTTGATCTATTACTGTATATGGTGAGAGGTAAAGTTTCAATGTCGTTCTTACTCATATGGTTCACCAATTTTCCCAGCACCATTTATCAAATAGGGTGTCCTTTCCCCATTTTTAAATTGTTATTGACTTTATCAGAGACCAGTTGGTCATAAATGTGACTTTATTTCTGGATTCTCTATACTACTTCATTGATCTATCTGTCTATTCTTATACCAGGCCCATGCTATTTTAGTTACTATCACCTCGTAGTAGAATTTGAAGTCAGGCAGTATGATGCCTCCACATTTATTCTTTTTACTTATAATTTCTTTGGAATTTGGACTTTTTGAGGTTTCATATAGATTTTAAGATTTTGTTGTTGTTGTTGTTCTATAAAAAATTATGTTGGGGCCAGGCGCTGTGGCTCAAGCCTATAATCCCAGCACTTTGGAAGGCCGAAGTGAGAGGATTGCCTGAGCCTACAGGTTCGAGGCCAGCCTGGGCAATACGATGAGACATCGTCTCTACAATAAATAAAAAAAAATAGCTGGGCATGGTAGTGTGTACCTGTAGTTCCGGCTACTTGGAAGGCTGAGGTGAAAGGATCTCCTGAGCCCAGCAGGTCAAGGCTACAGTGGCCAGGAGAGTGCCACTGCACTCCACCCTAGGTGACAGAGTGAGACACCAACTCAAAAAAAAAAAATTATGTTGATATTTTGACTGAGATTTTATTGAATCTGTAGGTTGCTGTGAGCAGTGTGATCATTTAAAAAATATTGATTCTTCTGATCCATGGGATATTCATTCATTAACTTGTGTCATCAATTTTTTTAATCATTGATTTGTAGTTCTTTTTTCAGAGATCTTTCATCTCTTTGGTGTATTTATAAGTATTCTATTGTTTTCTTTTGTTATTGCAAATGGGATTGAGCTCTTGATTTGTTCTCAGCTTGAGCATTATAGGTGTATAGAAACATTACTATTTTTGAACATTGCTTTGTTATCCTGAGACTATACTGAAGTCGTTTACCATGTCTAGAAGAATCTTGGAGGAGTCTTTAGGGTTTTCGAGATATACAATTATGTCATCAGCAAGCTAGGATAACTTGACTTCCTCACTGCCAATTTTAATGCTTTTTAAAAATCTTGCCAGACGGTTCTTGCTAGAACTTCCAGTATGATATTGAATAAGAGTGGTGAGGGGGTCATCCCAGTCATACTCAAGTTCTGAGGAAAATTGCTTCCACTTTTCCCCATTAAGTATGGTGTTCACTGTAGGTTTGATATATATGGCTCTTATTATTTGACATATGTTTCTTCAATGCTTAGTTTGCTAAGCATTTTTATCATGAAGGGATGTTGGATTTTATTGATTGCCTTTTCTGCATCTATTGAGATAATCATATGGTTTTTGTTTTTACTTCTGTTTATGTGATAGATCATGTTTTTTGATTTGTGGTTGTTGAGCCATACTTGTATGGCTTAATAAAATTCACTTTGTCTTGATAGATAATTTTGTTGATATGATATTGAACTTGGTTTGCTAGTATTTTATTAAGAATTTGTGCATCTATATTCATTAGGAATATTGGTCTATAGTATTCCTTTTTTTGTTGTGTCTTTGCCTGATTTTGGTAACAGAGTGATACTGGTTTCATAAAATAAGTTAGGGAGGAGTCTCGCCTCTTTGATTTGTTAGAATAGTTTCTGTAAGATTGGTAGCAGGTCTTCTTTGTACATCTGGTAAAATTTGGCTATGAATCTGTGTGCGCTTGTGCTTTGTTGTTGCTGTTATTGTTGTTGTTGAAAGATTTTTTTTTCTTTTTCTAATTCCATTTCATTGCTTTTTTATTGGTCTAGTCAGGGTATCTATTTTATCCTGGTTCAGTTTTGGGAGATTGTATGTTTCCAGGAATGTATCTATTTTTTTCTAGGTTTTTCATTTTTTCCCATAGATTTGTTCATAGTAGTCTCTGATGATCTTTTGTATTTCTGTGGTATTGGTTGTTATATCACCCCTGTCATTTCTGATTTTATTTATTTGAATCTTCTCACTTTTTGTCTTGATTAGTTGGTCAGTCTAGATAGTAATTTGTCAATTTTCTTTATCCTTTGGAACAGTGGCCCCCAAACTTTTTGGCATCAAGGACCAGTTTTGTGGAAGATAATTTTTCTTCCACAGACTGAGGAAGGGATGGTTTTGGAGTGATTCAAGCGCATTACATTTTTTGTGCACTTTATTTTCAGATCCCTCACATGAGCAGTACACAATAGGGTTAGTGCTCCCATGAGAATCTAATGCCACTGCTTATCTGAAAGTAGATGGAGCTCAGGCAGTGATGAAAGCAATGAGAAGTGACTGTAAATACAGATGAATTTTCCCTTACTCACCTCCCACTTACCTCCTGCGGTGTGACCTGGTTCCTAACAGTTCATGAACCACTATTGGTCTGTGGCCCAGGGCCTCAACCTCTCGAGTAGCTGGGACTACCAGGCAGGCATCACCACAACTGGCTAAGTTTTTATTGAGACAAGGTCTCACTATGTTGTCCAGGCTGATCTCAAACTCCTGAGCTCAAGCAGGAGCTCAAGCAATCCTCCTGCCTTGGCCTCCCAAAGTGCTTGGATTACAGACGTGAGTCACCATGCCTGGTCTTACTCAGTAACATCTCAATATGTCATGCTGCAAGAAATCATCTGAGCAAGTCTAAACATCCATTTTATGAGCAAGGTGGACCAAAGTACTTTGTCTGAAGCAGGGTAGTCACTTGAAAACAACAAGTGTTCCTTTACATCTTTTCTGTCAGAAATTGACAAGGTCCAATTATAAATCCATGGTCTTAGCCGGGCTTGGTGGCTCAGCCTGTAATCCCTCGCTTGGGGAGGCTGAGGTGAGTGGATTGCCTGAGCCCGAGGGTTTGAGACCCGCCTAGGCAACTTGGCAAGACCTCATCTCTACAATAAATCAAAAATTAGCTGGGTATGGTAGCGCGTGCCTGTAGTTCCGGCTACTTGGAAGGCTGAGGCGGAAGGATCACCTGAGCCCAGTAGGTCGAGGCTGCGGTGGCCGGGAGCGGCCACTCACCCCAGTCTGGGCGACAGAGTGAGATTCCAACTCAAAAAAAAAAAAAAAAATCCACGGTCTTATTTGAGGTGATACTAAGCATCAAACACAAGGCATGAGGTTACTTTTGACTATTCAGTAGCAACATTTAACAGGAAGCATGCATGATTTTTGTGTATATTTCTCACAGAAAAAATTATGCATTCCATATTCCACTTAATATAATATATACATTATTTTCTGGGGGGTGGGTACATAAGACTTGAGAAAACTTTCAGAGAGACAGAACTTCCTGAATAACCCTGACAGTATTGCGTATAGGGTTGAGTTTAGCTTAGCATCCGTGCCTCCAAAAGATATTTTATACCAAATTTTAATAAGGGCAATCTGAATAAGAACTACTATGCATTTACCCTATATAAATTATTTAATTTAACAGTTATTCCTGAATAGCCAGTGAAAATGGGAAGTATGTTTCCAAGAAAACTTAGCTGACATTATTAACAAGATAAGTTTTAAAATCTTATCATATTTACCTCAGATGTGCTATTGAAAAAGAAGAGTTGTTTCATTGCCCTAAATTCTGAAATTCTTTAGTTTGTAGACCATTTAGTATTTAGAAGTTATTTGCTTAACTCTTCACCATACCCATAACTGATTGGTAGGTTTTTTCATTCCAATTTTAAAGACTAGTCACAAATTGACAAACAAGAAGTAAAATATAGTATTCATTTTCTAAATGAGTGCTTCTCAATAATATTATTTACATATATAATATGAGCCTAGGTGCATATATATCTGCCAAAATAAAGTTTGAAAAAATAACATGAATTACATTTTATATTTTTGTTTTGTAGCCTATTATTTTGTTCTCAGTATAACTGTTCTCAATAAAACTATGGAGGATGGCTATATTTCATTTAAATTAATAAACCAGCTTGGAACTGTTGAAGAGCCAAGGCTCTATGAGTAAGTATAATTTAGAACTTTCTTCTTTCATAAATTCAAGGTTTGCTTTCTTGAATATCCAGTTCAGCATATCATCCAACTATTGTAATTTTTTGTCTAGAGAGTCTTAAGGTGCTAAATATTAATAGGATCTCATGTATTACATTATAATCATTTTCTTCTACAGAGGAAGATACTAAATATGAAAGAGACTAAATAACACATCTATTTATACTACAATTCTAGTGAACACAAAAGTTAAAAGAGTACCAGCAGCAGCCTTTTCTCTCTCTCTCTCTCTCTCTCCCCACCCCCCACTCTCTCTCTCTTTTTTCTCTCAGTCCAATGTTCTTACTGACAACCTGGCTTTCTGAGCTCCTCCAATTTTGGGGCAACATCATGTTCACAGTGATGTGACTAAATCTTTAGTGGTTTCTTCCAACGAGTGAATTTTAATTTTAATTTTTAGAGCAGCGGTCTCCAATCTTTTTAGCATCAGGGACTGGCTTTGTAGGAGAAAATTTTTCCACAGATAGGGGTGGGGATGATTCAAGCACATTACATTTATTATGTATTTTATTTCTATTATTATTACATTATAATATATAATGAAATAACCATACAACTTACCATAGTTTCTTTAATCACACACAGTAGGGATCATGCTCCTATGAAAATCTAATGTGGCCACTATCTGACAGGAGGTGGAGCTCAGGCAATAATGCAGGTGATGGGGAACAGCTGTAAATACAGATGAAGCTTTATTGCTGTTCTGCTGCTGACCCCTTGCTGTGTCCTCTGGTTCCTAACAGGCCATGAATTGGTCTGTGGCCTAGGGTTGGGAACCCTTGTTTTAGAGAACCACTCCCACCCACAAAGCTCCTAATTAATAGGGGAGAGTTTTGATGTATGTGCATGTGTATGTCTTGGTATATAATCATATTTTAAGGTTATTTAATTGTATCAAAGAATGCTTTCATCTTCAGATTGGTGAATGTATATTTATAGGCTTAATGAATCTTAAATTAGAAATTAATTTTCTCTTAAAGAAGAATGATATAAAAATGAACATTACTATATTTGTGTTTTTCAGTCTGTTGCACTAGACTTCTAGAAAGCCATCAAATAATAAAATAATAAAATGATTTTCAAAAGACTTACAAGTAGCATGTGTGGTAGTTAAATGAAAGATAAATATTGTTTGGTTGTGGCTAGATTTAGACCAATTTGGTTTAAGTTTTGACTGGTTATTGATAACACTGGGATTTCAAGAGGCACAGTTGGTATCTCTAACATTTACTGTTGTCATAGTTTAGGTAGTTACAGGATCTGAACTGACTAATTATCTAATGTGTGATGGACTTTGGACCTGAGTACAGAATGACATCCAAAGTTTAACTGTGGACCAGTTATTAGCACATTTACTAACAATTGTAATGATATAATTTAAAGTTACAATATTAACAGTTAAAATCAGAAACAGCATTAAAATATAAAAACTAACCATAGCTCAAAATACATGCTATTTTGTTTAGCAGATAAATCTTTCAAACCTTAGAATTCATACGAAAAAGAAATTACAATGACAAAATTATTGAGAACCTCTGTACTGAAGTAATATAAAGATCATTCCATCACAGAATGCCATAATTAGCCTTAGGAATAGCATCCTATATTATAACTCAGAATTTTTTTTTTAATTTTGAGAGAAACAAAAAAGTGAATTAAGTCATTGTAGATATTTTAGTAGGTGAATAGAACTGGTAGTGAAAGAGTAGCAATTATCCTTGTTCTTTCCCATTTTTAAACTAATCTTAAGTCATCCAAAAATGAGGATAAAAGAAATCAAATCAGAACTGCAATCCAAATTCTTTACTCATTTTTAATGAGATAAAATTACAGCTTCTAGTAATATATTTTATAATAGAAGGCCACTAAATGTGTTGTTGAAGCACAGAAAATAACCAAGGAAGCATTTGAAGATAAGGTAACACAGAACAGGGAGAATGTACTTTCAAAAGCATGAAGATGAAAAAGTACCTAAATTCAGAGGTAGTACAATGGTGTCTTGGGTTAGAGACTTTGTAGTAGAGATGGTAAAATGAGGATTGATTCAAAGCAGATTCCATATTTTTGAGGTAAAGTCAGTAGGAATTTATGATAGATTGGATGTTAAGAGAATCTCTTAAGGGTGACTCGTAATTGTTTGACTTGGGTAATAGGTGGTGGTACCATTTAATACCATTTTTAAAAAGTGTAAGTTTTAGTTTAATTCTTTTGGTTACTTTTTTTGCGGGGGGAGAGGAGAAGATGAGTCATTCAGATTTGAACCTACTGAGCTTCAGTCATACTTGAGATATCCAAAAGGACACGGTGAAAAACAGTGGATATGTGTGTCTGGAATTCAACAGACAGACCTCAGCTGGAGGTAGATATTTGGCATTTGTAAGCAAAGTGTTGGTAATTGCAACGATTGGAGTGACTGTGAATTTGTAGGGAGAGATAACAAGCTTCTATCTAGATATGTTGAATTTGAAGTATCTCTAAGAAATCTGGATAAGCTTTTATAAATATATGCCCTATGACATTATTTTCTGTGAATGAGGAGGTAGTCACCCTGCCAAGAGGGAGCAGAAATGGATTTTGAAGGTAATGATTCTATCCTTTGGGGAGGATCTAGCTACGGTGAGGAATCAAAAGGGGAGAGTAGGGACAAACATGAGACAGCAGGGGGTGCTAGTTGTCTCACCCATTGTTCTTCAGTTGTTCTCCATATGATTTTCACCTTTGACTAAGCAAGTTGTTGTCTCAAAAGAGGAACTTCTTTCAACCAGTTTTTATTATTCCTCTTTTTTCTTCTGTTCTTTCCTTCTCCTCCCTCATTCTTCTTCTCCTACTCTTCTTCCCTCTCCTCTCCCTCCCTTCTCCTTCCCTCTTCTTCCTCTTAACCCCTTTTCTCCCTTCCTCTCCTCCTTCCTTCTCCTTTTCCTTAGTTTTATTTAATTAGAGAAAGTGCAATAAATTTAGTAGAGTTTCTTTTGGGGTCAGGCAGACCTATATTGGCATCAGTGACTCCAGGGACCCACAATTCTAGTACACGGGGACAAAAAAAATGGGCTGAACAGTGAAGAGTGTTGATATGGCTGTGTCTACATTCCAGTCATGGATCCACTAGCTATGTGACTTTGGGAAAGACATATATGTTCTGACACTCCGTTTTCTCATTTGTAAAATACTAATTCTCATCACAAATGACTTGAAATTGTTGAACTAGCTAAATAAGGTGAAGCATGTGAGGCTTTATTACACTGTAAATTCTCAGAAAATAATACTTGTTAAACACTGCCTTTATATTTTCTTTTGTGTCTCAGGCTTTTATACATTATTTCTTTAAGTAAAAAAAAATTGACAAAGTAGCATTGTATAAAGAGTTGTCCTAGTGCATTCAAAAAATTGTGATCATTGTTGAAGGATCTAAAAATATATAAAAAAATTTAAACAAATGTACAATTTAGATATCTACTCAGAAAGACAAGATATCTCACTTTTTCCCCAAGAAGGATATAATATTTCTCTAAGGGAATGCATTCATTATTATTATTAATTACTTTATTATTATAAATTACTGTTTAAATTATTTTAATAAACACTTTAACAAATATTGTGTTGGGCTTTTCCCTGTAATATTGTTTTCTGTATTCTGCCTTGTTAGATAATATTGATTTTAAAATTAAATTATACTTCAAATTATTAACATGGGGGTTTTTAATGATCATTAATATGCTAATTTTTCTTTTTAGAAAAAGCAAACCGTTTTATGAACTTCAAGAAGTCAAGATTCTTGCTCAATTTTTCAATGATGTTGCAAATATTTCAAGCATTGGTTTGACATATTTTCAGAGCTCAGATCTACAATGTTCCACATGCCAATACTGGATCCAAAGTCTCATGTTAAAATCACTTACATACCCAGAAAGGTAAACAAATGAATTTTGATATCAATGCTATTTTTTAAAGTTGAAATTATTGATATATTAAGTAATTCTTTAATAATTCATGTATTCAAATAGTTGTGAATTTCAGAATATATTTAACTTATATATTAGGATATCAAAAATGTGTAAAATACAGTTTTTGACTTGGATAAAATTTATTTTGGAATAATACTACTTTAGCAAAGAAAACACACACAATCATTTAATAAGACACAACAAAGATGAAAAAAGTGAGACTAATACCTGCCTTAGAAATTTACCAATAATTTCTTATATATACTCAGAGTGGTTGAGAGTCTTTTTACTCAATGCTTTGAATAAAGTTCAATGGCTAAAAACTTTATAATGAAACGCATGGCATGGTCACAAAATATTGAAGTTGTCATGATTTCCAATGATTTTTTATTTCTCCTAACTTTATTGCCCAAATGCCATCATGCCTGGCTAATTTGTTTAATTTATTTAGAGATGAGGCCTCATCAAGTTGCCCACATGACCTCAAACCCCCACGCTCAGGTAATCCTCTTGCCTCAGCCTCCCAAAATGTTGGGATTACAGACATGAACCGCTATGCTCAGTTTCTCTCTCTTATAAGTAAGAACATGTGGTATTTAGTTTTCTGTATCTATGATAATTTACTTAGAATAGTGGCCTCCAGTTGCACCCATTTCTGAAAAAGACATAATTTTATTCTCTTTTATGGGTACTTAGTATTCCATGTAGTATATGGAGCATATTTCTTTATCCAGTCCACTGTTGATGATCCCTTGGTTTGGTTTCATGTTTTTTGTTATTGTGCTGTGATAAGCATATGAGTTCAGGTATCTTTTTTTTTTTTGAGTTGGAGTCTCACTGTCGCCCAGACTGGAGTGCAGTGGCTGCTCCCGGCCACCGCAGCCTCGACCTGCTGGGCTCCGGTGATCCTTCCGCCTCAGCCTTCCAAGTAGCCGGAACTACAGGCGCGCACTACCATGCCCGGATGATTTTTTGATTTATTGTAGAGATGAGGTCTCGCTGCCCAGGCGGATCTCGAACCCACGGGCTCAGGCAATCCACTCACCTCAGCCTCCTAAAGGCGCGGGATTACAGGCTGAGCCACCAAGCCTGGCTAGGTATCTTTCTTGGTAAAATGATTTATGCTCTTTTGGGTGTAAACTCAGTAGTGGAATTATGAATCAGACAGGAAAACTATTTTTAGTTATTTGCGAAGTCTTCAAACTGCTTTTCAAAAGGGCTAGACTAGTTTACATTCCCACCAACAGTGTTCTCTTTTCTCCACAACTTCTCCAACATCTGTTGTGTTTTGACTTATTAATAATAGCCATTCTGACTGGTGTGAGATGGGGATTTTTTTGTATTTTTTACTTAGCATCTCTCTGATGATTAGTGATGTTGAACATTTCTTCATATGTGCATTGCTCATTTGTGAATTGAGAATGGCTATTGTGAATTGTCTGTTCATGTGCTTGCCCAGTTTGTAAGGGATTATTTTATTTTATGTCAGTTAGTTTAAGTTCCTTATACATTCTGGATATGAGCCCTTTGCCAGGTGCATACTTTGCAAATACTTTTGTCCTGTCTGTAGCTTATCTGTTTACTCCATTGATCATTTCTGTGCTGTGCAGAAACTATTTCTTTAGTTTAATTAGGTTCAACTTGTCAATTGTGGTTTTAGTTGCATTTGCTTTTTCAGGACTTGATCATAAATTCACTGCCAACGCCAGTGTCCAGGAGAGTTTCCTAAGTTTTCTTCTAGGATTTTTTTTAATAGTTTGAAGTCTCACATTTAATTGCCAAAAGGTTTCTGTGTTTAATCATGCAGTTTATTTACTGCAATAGCTTCAATTCTCTATATTCACACAGAAAACAATGTGAAGACAATGTAACAGAATCTCTGAGCAACACTTTCTAAATTAATTGCTACATGACATTTCATCTTTTGTGGATAATTTAATTGTTATTGCTTAATTGTTGGATCCTTCATTTTTCCCCCAAACTTTCATTATCATAAATAGTGACTATCAATGCCTAGATACCTATTTTCATTTTATTTATTTTATTTATTTTTTATTGGATGCAGACTTTTCTTTTTTATTATATTATAAAGATGTGGGGTACAATTCAAGATTAGGTATGCAAACGTTGATTATGCAGGTACCCTTGATGATGAGGTGTGCCCCTCCCTCCCCTAGCAGTTTCCCTCAACTGCCAATCCTGACCCCCTCCCCTGACAGTTTCCCACTACTGCCAATCACTTTCTTATAGTATTATAATTGTTCAAGGTCCGCTTATGAATGCGAACATATTGTACTCTGTTCTTTGTTTCCATGATAAATCACTGAATATGATCAACTCTAAATCCATCCAAGTTGCTGTGAAGTCCATATGTTTGTCCTTCTTTATGGCTGCATAATATTCCATCGTGTATATGTACCACATTTTTTTCTCCAGTCCATTGTCAATGGGCTACATGGTTCATTCCATGTTTTTCCTATTGTGAATAGAGCTGCAAAAAACATATGTGTTCAGGTATCTTTTTTGTAGAATGATTTGAGTTCCTCCAGGTATATTCCTAATAGGGGGATTGCTAGGTCAATTTCTAGTTCTTTCAGAAATTGCCACACTGTCTTCCAGAGAGGTTGCACTAGTTTGCATTCCCGTCAGAGTGTAGAAGTGTTCCTTTTTCTCCTCATCCTCATCAGCATCTGTTGTTGTTTGTTTTTTTAGTGATAACCAATCTTATTGGGATTAGATGGTATCTCAATGTGGTTTTGATTACCATTATTCTGATGATGGGTGAGGCTGAGCACTATTTCATGTGTCTGTTGGCTGCCCGTATATCTTCTTTTGAGAAGTGTCTATTCATGTCTTTTGCCCACTTTTTAATGGGGCTGTTTGTTTTTTTCCTTTCGGCGAGTTTGTGTTCCTTATAGATCCCAGATGTTAGGCCTTTGTCAGATATACAGTTGGCAAATATTATTTCCCATTCTGTGGGCTGTCTCCCTGCTCTCTTGATGGTTTCTTTTGCTTTGCTCATCAGTTTGATGAGGTCCCACTTGTCTATCTTATTTCTTAAGGTATAGTCATTTAATGTTTTGATCAGGAATTGGTTGCCAGTTCCAATTTCCTTAAGATTGTCTCCTGCATTTTATAGGATTCTTACAGTTTAAGGTCTTATGTTTAGGTCTTTGATCCATTTAGAGTTAATTTTTGTGTATGGTGATAGGTAGGGATCCTGTTTAAATCTTCTGCATGTGATCAACTAGTTTTCCCAGCACCATTTACTGAATAGGTTCTCCTCTCCCCAGTGGTTGTTGTTGGAAGCTTTGTCAAGATGAGTCGGTTGATAAATTGAATCTTTGATTCTGGAATCTCTATCCTGTTTCGTTGGTCTGTGTGCCTGTTCTTGTACCAATACTAGGCTGTTTTGATTACTGTAGGTTTAAGTAAAGTCTGGAAGTGTGTGATACCTCCTGCTTTGTTTCTTTTACTAAGGATTGTTTTGGTTATTAGTGGTCGTTTATGTTTCCATATGAGTTTCTGTATCGTCATTTCCAGGTCTGAGAAGAATGATGTTGGTAATTTAATTTGTATTGTGTTGAATCTGTAGACTGCCTTTGGTAGGATGGACATTTTAACAATGCTGATTCTTCCCATCCATGAGCTTAGAATATTTTTCCATTTGTTGGTGTCTTCTTGGATTTCTTTGAGCAGTGTTTCATAGTTCTCATTGCAAAAGTCTTTCACTTTTTGGTTAGGAAGAGGTCGAGGTATTTCCTTTTTTTTTGTAGTTATTGTGAATGGGATTGTGCTTTTTATTGGGGTTTCTGCCTGCTTGTTGTGGTGTATGGGAATGCAACTCTCTTTTGCACATTTATTTTGTACCCTGAGACTTTGCCAAAGTCCTTTATCAGTGCAAGCAGTTTTTTGACAGATTCTTTGGATTTTCAAGGTATAGGATCATATCATCAACAAAGAGGGATAACTTGACTTCTTCTTTTCCTATTTGGATAACCCTGATTTCCTTCTCTTATCTAATTGCCCAAGCTAAGGACTTCCAACACAAGGTTGAACAAAAGGGATGAGAATAGGCAGCCTTGTCTTGTTTCAGTTTTCAGGGGAAATGCTTCCAGTCTCTGTTCATTTAGCAACATGTTAGCTGTGGGTTTATTGTAGATTTTTGCATCTATGTTCATGAGGGATATTGGCCTGTAGTTCTCTTTTTTTGTTGGATCTTTACCCAGTTTGTGTATCAGTGTGATGTTAGATTTGTAAAATGATTTGGGGAGAATTCCGTCTTTCTCAGTTGCCTGGAGTACTTTCAATAGAATTGATATGAGCTCCTCCTTGTGCCTTCTGTAGAATTCTGCTGGAAAGCCATCTGGTCCAGGGCTTTTTTTTTTTTCTTTTGTAGGTAGTTTTTGTATGACAGAGTCAACTTCCTTGGTTGTTATTGGTCTATTTAGTGTCTCAAGGTCTTCTTGTTTCAAGCTGGGGAGGTTGTGTGATATCACATAGTCCTCCATTCCATTTAGGTTATCAAGTTTGTTTCCATATAACTGTACACAGTAATCTCCAGTAATCTTTTGCATTTCTTCGGGGTCAGTTGTGATTTGATCTCTTGTATTTCTGATTATGTGGTCATTCTTTTTTTTTCTTTCTTCTGTGCTTTTTAAGTGTCTCCTGTAGAGCTGATCTGGAAGCTGCATACTCTCTTAGGGATTGGATGTCTGGGAAGGATTTTAATTCTCCATCACTGATGAAGCTGAGTTTGGCTAGGTAGGAAATTCTTGGTTGAAATTGTTTATCTCTGAGGACTTTGAATATAGGACTCCAGTCCTTTCTTGCTTGCAGTGTTTCTACTGATAGGTTTGCTGCTATTCTGATTGGTTTTTTCTGGTAAGTAGTCTTACCTTTCTCTCTTGCTGCCTTTAGAATTTTTATCTTTTGTGCCTACATTGTGTAGGCAAATTACTATGTGA